GGTGACTGGAGAGTCCCTCCCTCCCCCACCTTGCCTAGTAACAGCATGGGGAAAGGGAACCCCCTGTCCCTCCCTGCTTCCCTTGTCCCCATACCCAGCTGAGCTCAGCCCCTGCATGACAAATAGAAATGAACACAAACACATATCTCATTTAGATCTGGGTGTGCGCATGTGTATGCGAGTGTGAGTGACTGTACAATCTGGCCTTGCTTTTCCTGATCTGTATTTTGCTTCAGGGGGGAGGGAGAAGGAGCAGCATGGAGCTATTGGCTTCTTTGCCTGGCCAGAGCTGAAGGGGATGTGCTGGGAGGGGAGCCATTAGTTGTGGTAGGAGCACCAGTCCAGCCCCACAAAGTGTAAAAAAACTAACCCTAGAGGGAACACAAGTTCCCTACAGTTCTCTGCTATAGAGCACCTTCATCTAGTACCTGATTTGACCAGGGTTAATTTTCTCATGCAATCAGTTTCTTTAAAAGTGCTCTGCACCTGTGTATGTGTATTATGTCATGGCTGTAGAGAATTTTCAGGAGCCTGACCACGTGAAAAGTGTAACTTGTGTAAGCACCCATTAAGACCCAAAGGCAACATTACATCATCTAGTCTGACTTCCCATATAACACAGGCTTTTAAATCTTATCTATGAACTCTTTCACTGAGCTCAGTTACTGGTGTTTACTAAAGCATAATTTCTGGAAATCCAATCTTGATTTCAAAAGATAAAGAATCCAGTACTTTCTTTCTTAGCTTGTGGCCAATGCTAAGCACTCTTACTATGAAAATTTTATGACAAATTTCTGTTTTGAATTTGTTTGTCTTCAGTTTGCAGCCATGCATTGCTGTTCGCCTTTTTCTGCTAAATTAAAGAGCACTTTCCTAACCAATATTTTTTCCTTGTGAAAGTACCAGTACATTAGAAACATTACTGACTGATGATGATGATTCACTGCTGACTTTGAGACTTGTCAGACAGTTCTTTATCGTATAGTGCCAATATTTTAGTCAGACTGGTACTAGATTAAATACCCTACATCCATCTAAGTATCCTACATCCATTTACTTAGATTTATCATCAACTGGATTTGTAATCACATCAAAGAATGACATCTGGCTTGATGTGCACTGTTCTCCAAAAAGCCCAAGAACAAAATAGGAAAGGACCTACTGACATCTTATGTTCTTTTCATCTACCTTTTGGTAAATGGGAAGGTTCAGATTGCACAGTCTGGCTGAGTCATCTTAAGTAGAAGGCAGCGTAGATTTGTACCTTATAGACTAACTGAGGTAATATATAGCACAAGCTTCTGTGCTCTGAAGCTTACTTCACCTTAGTCAGTTTAATCCTCTCTGTACCTTTGATTTCCCTGACGTTAAAAGGGCAATACCTTTCTTACAGTGTTTTCATGAATGTCAGTTCATTAACATTTATTACAAAGTGCTATGAGAACCTTACCAGTAGTAGCTATCAGCAAGTGCCTCATCAACCATGCTCTTGTGATGCACCCAAAACCTCTACCAGGAAGCATGCCTCAGCTACTCACTCCTACCTAGCATACCTTATATTCCAGAAAGAATGCAATGTAGCAATGCTAAGGCTCTCCATCCTAGGTAAGGCTCTCCTGCCTTATTTATGGGATTTGATTTGTGCTGGAGGGAAATATTAGTGGGCCCTGCTTGTCTCAGCTATAGCACAGAGGCAGTGTAGACGAGTCCTAAGATGATATTCTGTAGTAAGGCAGCAAGAGCTCTGCTGCTGAGCATTACCTAAATCAGGAGATGTAGGGGTCAGAGGGTGTGCATTTCTCACTGAATTTAGCATCCAGTCTCACTTCATTTGTATAAAATGCATAGCTTCATCAAAAGTTGTCATCACAGATCACATTAAATCAGCTGAAGACAGAGTAATAATAGCAGAGAGCAAAGCATGCATTGTTATTTCTGCTATGTTACTTCTAAAGATTGTGGAATGGAAATGTAAGCCCTTTAAGGCGAAAAAAAGGCTTATTCTGTCCAATAATCCAGAAATTAATTGAGAGATTCAGTATTACATTATACACAGCTCTTTATTCTAATGAATTTTCTGCTGGGGTCTAAACCTTTGCTGATATAAATTAATGTCTATGGAGATGTGTTAACTTACACCAGCTCAGAACCTAGCCCTTGATTTTTAATAAGAGTTCAGATTGTTTGAGATACATGCATAAGTAAACCAGCTAGATAAAAAAAACTTCCAGTCCTTAGGCTGGAAAATGAGAAGGAAGAAAGGGAAA